CTGCCAATTGTTTCTTCAATTCACTTAACTCAGAAGTTGTCATCCGATAAGGAGCCATTGACACCAGATTCATTCCTGGTACCAAGTCCACTGCAAACTCTACTTCACGCTCTGGAAGCAAATCATTGATGTCATTCGGGAACACATCTGGAAATTCATGGACAACAGGTAATTCGACACTCGCAGTTTCACGTTCAACTTGTAATGATGCAAACTTCGAGGCTTCTTCTTCTAGAAGTTTGTCTACTTGCTTAGCAAACAAGAATATCAACTCTCCATTATCACCAAACTCCATAAAATCCACGGTCTTATTATAACAGTTGATATGAACATAGTTGAACTTCAACCATTTCATTCCCAGGATTACATCAATTTGGTGTAAGGGTAACACACCAAATCCATCACGAAACTCTTTCCAAATATCCTCAACAGACATCTCAAACACACAAGAGTAGTAGTAACAGAACCATTAGCAGGAGTTTCTATCACCATACTACCATTCATATCATACAAATTCAAACCCAATCTATTAGCACATTCAAGCGAAATAAACGAATGGGTAGCACCAGTATCAACAATAGCGAATAACTCAACATTGTTAATAAAACAAGTACCTCGAATCAAGTTATCCTTCTTAGGAACCTCTGAACCACTCAAAGCAAACACTCTGTCATTAGTCTGAGCAGCAGTAGCAGTCTTTTTTAGCTTCTGACACTGGGTACTGATGTGACCCTGTTCACCACAGTTGAAACAAGTCGGACCCTCATCCTTGCGGTTGGTATCTCTATGGCCTCTCTTACCATATCTGTAACACCTCAACACATTATTGTTACAAACCTCTGCACGGTGGTCTTGCTCGCCACACCTATAACACTTAATAGAAGCAGGAGCTGCTCCCCCACTTATATTTTTCCCATCTGCCGCCTTTTGTTTCCCTTTATCAGCTGGAGTCACATAAGGATTTCCTCTAAACTTTCATTTCTCTTTCTTCTCACTAAGATGCTTGTAGTGAGCAGATCAAGCTCGGATGTCCTCATCATAGATCCTACTCTTATCCACCAGCTCAGCATACCTGCGAATTTGTTGGTATCTAATACCCTGTTTAATTTCTAGTCTCAACCCTTTCTCAAACTTGAGACATTTAGACATCTCAGCATCAGCACGGTTGTGATGCAGACAAAACTTCACCAGCGCCTCGAATTTTGCATCACACTCTGCCACTGTCATGTTTCCTTGACTCAATTCAAGGAATTCTACCTCCTTCTTGGCGTGAACATCTTCAGGAAAATACTTTCTCAAAAATTCTCTCTTGAATACAACCCAAGTTATTTCGGTACCAACATCCTCCAATCTCTGACGAGTATTATCCCACCAATCTTCAGCTTCTTCTGACAGCATATGAGTACCAAAATGAACCTGTTGGGCGTCAGTACATGCCATCACTCGGAAGATCTTCTCAATCGCCTTGAGCCACTTTTGTGCACTCTCTGGATCATGGGTACCCACAAAATTTGGCAGGTTATTCCTATGGAACTTCCCCAAAGCACGAAACTCATCGGGAGCCCCTTCGTTCTTATTGTTCTGCACATTCTGAGCCACCACCTAGGCAATTGATTCCAACGTATCAACAATAGCACGGTCATTTCTCCCAACCATTTTGCACACCATAAATCAACATTAAAAGAAACCACTATCAACAGTGTACACACACTCATCGACTAACATGGAATAACATCATAAAAACCTGGACAGACAGAACAACATGCTTTGATACCACTAATGTAACACCCTTCTACCCCAATAGTCATTCACGATAAATAAAACAATTATATCAGAAGAGTACATCACCACAAGGGTGCCACATTTCGCCATAAAACCATAATAACGTCCTACTCCGTAAAACATGTTCTATCATCAGTAAAATTCAAAATAAATAGAGCTACATTGCAGCGGAAAATCATAATCTCAAAAACCGTCAAAATAGACGAATTCATAATGACGTCAAGTCTATAAAACCAACATAAAAATTCAACTCAATATCGTCCTGACCCGATGTTACATATCAGAGCAAGACACCTTCTAAGTTCAATGGAATTAAAATTAAATACTCTAGAAGCTAAACCTTCACGCGCCAAGAGCTAATCCTGATCACCTGCACGCTACCCACGTGGAGACAACATTCAAATAGGCAGGGTGAGCAATCACAAGTTATTATACAAGATATAAAGAAAAGATAAACACACACACACACACACACACACACACACACACACACAAACACACACACACACACACACACACACACACACACACACACACACACACACACACACACACATATATATATATATATATATATATATATATATATATATATATATATATATATATATATATATATATATATATATATATATATATATATATATATATATATATATATATATATATATATATATATATATATATATATATATATATATATATATATATACACACACACATCAACATTCAACAATTTCCATACATCGTCATAGAATCATCCAGCAACATAATCATCATCAAGTCATCATCATATGCGTCATTTTAAATCACATCATCAAATACAACATTCATTCACAATTATGCAATGTCACATAACATGAAATGCAACAACACTAGACTCATGCATATGGTACCAATTCGTCACGTTGATAGAAACTTGGCCATCACCCTCCAAAGATCTCCACCAATAGGATCGATTCTACACAAGAATCGGAGCACGTCATAAACATCCAAATCCACACAATGAGATTGAATTCACCACTGGACCAAAGTCCTAACATCGTCACTTGACCGAAGTCCTAACATGCTATGAATGCATGATGCAAAACGTCATAATCGTCATCATCACAGGATCCTCAAAGTTGCATTATCATTCATGAAAATTCATCAAAACATCATAGTATTACATCATTATTATACATCACAAATTATCAAGTTATAATCATCAAAATACAACACATCAATTACTCAAAGCATACAAACAACAAGACACCAGACATCATAAAATAAAGAAAAGAAAAGAAAACACAAAGGTCCTGCTCGCCTGGTGTTCGCCCGGCGAAGCAACTCGCTCGCTTGGGTTTTTCCTGGCGAAGCAGGGGCGGATTTCCTTCCCCCATACAAAAAACCAGAAGCACCCAAATTTCCACTCTCTTCTGCCTCGAATTTTGCCTGGCGAGGTTGGGGCGAAACTTTGCGAACCTGCAACTTCTCAGTTACGATTCTACACCAGTTCAGACCCAATCATCCTTATGTTTCCAACACTAAATAGTCCAAAAATACACTTAAATTGCAAGGGAAACAATACAACAACCACAAAACATTCTTAAATCATCAGTTTCATCCTATCTCCGTCATAATACCAAAATCCCCTTTAAAACTCCAACTACTCACATTATCTCTAACGTTATATCAATTATAATGGCTATAGATACTCCTCATACCTTAGAATTCTCAGCAACCAACTTCCTCTTGAGTTCTTCAAAGTTCTCTTTGAGCCCTAGCCTCTTCTTCTTCTTTCTTCAGAGTTTTTTTTTTCCAAAAACACAATTGCACCAAATAAACTTCTCTACTCTCTCTTTTCCCTTTTTGCCACTCTTACCCCTTGGACCCCTATTATGATTTCCTAACTTCGTCCTCACTTATTTCACTCAACATTACCATCATACCCTCAGTGTTCCCTTCCTATTATTTAAAATAATAATAATAATTTAAATAAGATTATTCACATTATTCCACTATTATTATTATCAAAATAATTCTAATTAATCATACACTTCTAATTATCCTCAACACCTTCTTAACATCAACAATACCTCCCAACACAAATCATCAGACTTCAAAATATTTCACCAAATTCACTGAAATCACAAATATTTATAATAAATCAATTAAATAAATATTCTAATTATTTTGGGGTGTTACAATAGTAGCTGTCATGGTTTGACATGAAGGCAGTTTGGGGCGCATCCAGAGGATCCATCTTGATTTGGTTGTATCCCGAGTAGGCGTCCATGAAACTTACCACACTGTAGCCTAAAGATCTATTGATTAGATGGTCAATGTCCGATAGCAGATACGATTCTTTGGGGCAGACAACATTGATATCAGTGAAGTCTACGCACATGTGCCATTTGTTGTTGGCTTTTCGCACCCAAACTATGTTGCCCAACCAAGTGGGGTACTTCGTTTCAGTCATGAATCTAACGCTGGATAAATTTTCCACCTCTTCATCAATGGTGACCCTATTTTCCTCGCCCACATTGCGTTTTCTTTGACCCACTGATTTGACGGGTGGATGGATGACAAGGCAGTGACTCACAACTTTAGTGTGTATACATGACATGTCTAAGGGGGCCAGGCGAATAGGTCAACGTTTTTTTTAATCGGTCGACTAGCTCATGCTCCTCCCTTGCAAACAAGGAGGTGTTTATCTGTGTGACTTGGTTGGCATGAACTCCTAATTGAATTTCCTTCAAGTCTTCTATAGGCGTGAGTCGTTCCAGCTCTGCGTCAGACTTAGGGTCCCAACCTCGAAGTCAGTATTTGGAACTTCAAAAAGTTGGGCATCAACAAGGGCGAAATCTTCTTTGGCTATCTTTAGACTGCTCAAGTAACACTTACGGGCCACTTGTTGATCCTCTCGAAAGGCCTCCACTCTAACATCTCTAAGTGGATATTTTACAAGTCGCTTATTGATCTCTACGGACTTAAACCCGCTTGTTCTATTTCTTTATTCAAAATATTAAACACTAATTATTACAACAAGATCTAGAATACTCTGCTCTCACTTAAGAGACCTGGATTCAAATCCAATCAACGGAAACTTTTTTATTTTTTATTTTCTTTACATATTTGTTTATTTATTTTTATTTGTTTATTTAATTATTTAGTTATTTCGAGTAGCAACATTGTTGTCCCTGTTCTATCTCCTGGAAAGAAAACAGGAGAGACCAATGTTGTCAAGTATGTTGAAAACCATACCAAACTCAACCACCTCTTCACTTTCTCATAACCCTAAAAACAACAAATCTCGTAACCGTTTCATCTTCTTCAAACAACCTCGGACAACATGTCTTCTATATTCCAAATTAAATTTTTATTCTCGCGCCACTGTCGCTCGCAATGTAACGGAAAACCAAAATGCCAAAATTTGCAACTTCTGTCAAATGGGTAATCTCAGAAACGCTATGGAATTGCTCACAACATCACAAAGACATGAACTTGGGTTGAGTACTTATTGTTCCGTTTTGCAGCTTTGTGCTGAGAAGAACTCTTTGGAAGATGGAAAAAGGGTTCATTCCATTATCATTTCAAATGGCGTGGTGATTGATGAGGTTTTAGGGGCTAAACTAGTTTTCATGTATGTGAATTGTGGTGATTTGGTTAATGCGAGAGGGATATTTGATGAGATTCTTAATGATAAGGTTTTTCTTTGGAATCTTATGATGTCTGAATATGCAAAGATTGGTTATTATAGAGAAAGTCTGAGTCTTTTTAAGAAAATGCAGAAGATGGGAGTTTCAGGGGATTCTTATACATTTACTTGTGTGTTGAAGTGTTTTGCTGCATTGAGAAAGGTTAAGGAGTGTAAAAGTGTTCATGGGTATATTTTGAAACTTGGTTTTGGTTCTAATACTGCTGTTGCTAACTCGATGATTGCAGCTTATTTTAAATTCGGTGAAGTTGAGAGTGCACTTAATCTGTTTGATGAATTGGCTGATAGAGATGTAGTTTCATGGAATTCTGTGATAAATGGGTGTGCTGTTAATGGTTTTTCCAAAAATGGAGTTGAGATTTTCATTCAGATGCTGATTATGGGGGTTAATTGGGATTTGAACACATTGGTTAGTGTTCTTGTGGCTTCTGCAAATATTGGCAACCTTTCGTTCGGTAGAGCTCTTCATGCTTTTGGAGTGAAAGCATGTTTTGGTAAGGAAGTTGTGTTTAGCAATACCTTACTTGACATGTATTCAAAGTGTGGTAATTTAAATGGTGCAACTGAAGTTTTTGTGAAGATGGGTGACACGACTATTGTTTCTTGGACTTCAATCATTGCTGCTTATGTACGAGAAGGTCTATACGATGATGCTATTGGATTATTTGATGAAATGCAAAGCAAGGGTGTTAGGCCTGATATCTATACTGTCACAAGCATTGTTCATGCTTGTGCTTGTAGCAACTCTTTGGATAAAGGAAGGGATGTGCACAGTTACATTATAAAGAATGGCATGGGATCGAATTTGCCTGTCGCTAATGCTCTCATGAACATGTATGCAAAATGTGGAAGAATGGAAGAAGCTCGGTTAGTTTTCTCTCAAATTCGAGCTAAGGACATTGTTTCGTGGAATACAATGATTGGAGGTTATTCGCAAAATTCACTTCCCAATGAAGCTCTAGAACTCTTTTCGGACATGCAAAAACAGTTAAAACCAGACGACATTACAATTGCTTGTGTCCTTCCAGCTTGCGCAGGCTTGGCAGCTCTAGACAAAGGAAGAGAGATACATGGACACATATTACGAAGAGGATATTTTTCAGATAAGCATGTAGCTTGTGCACTTGTTGATATGTATGCCAAATGTGGGTTACTTGTTCTAGCACAGTTACTTTTTGATATGATTCCTCAAAAGGATCTGATTTCCTGGACTGTTATGATAGCTGGATACGGCATGCACGGATTTGGGAATGAGGCGATTTCCACATTCAAAAAGATGAGGATTGCGGGTATCGAGCCTGACGAGTCCTCCTTTGCCGCCATACTTAATGCTTGCAGTCATTCTGGATTACTGCATGAGGGTTGGAGGTTCTTTAACTTTATGAGAAATGAATGCGGTATAGAACCGAAGTTAGAGCACTATGCCTGCATGGTGGATCTCCTTTCCCGCGCTGGAAATCTATCAAAGGCGTACAAGTTCATCGAGTCCATGCCAATTGAACCAGATGCTACAATTTGGGGTGCATTGCTCTCAGGCTGCAGGATTCATCATGATGTGAAGCTAGCAGAAAAAGTGGCAGAACATCTTTTTGAGCTAGAGCCAGACAACACAAGGTATTATGTTGTTCTGGCGAATGTCTATGCAGAGGCGGAAAAGTGGGAAGAAGTGAAAAAGTTGCAAGAAAAGATGCGTAAAAGAAGATTCAAACAGAACCCAGGATGTAGTTGGATAGAGTTCGGAGGAAAGTTTAACATTTTTGTTGCTGGGAACAATAAACACCCTCAAGCAAAAAGGATAGACGCGTTGCTGAGAAAATTGAGTTTGCAAATGAAGAATGAAGATTACTCTACTAGGTTGAGGTATGCATTGATTAATGAAGATGATATGGAGAAGGAAGTGATTCAGTGTGGACACAGTGAAAAGTTAGCAATGGCTTTTGGTATATTAAATTTGCCGCCTGGGAGAACCGTTAGGGTCACAAAGAATCGAAGAGTATGCAGAGATTGTCATGAGATGGGGAAGTTCATGTCCAAGACAACCAAGAAGGAAATTTTATTAAGAGATTCAAACCGGTTTCACCATTTCAAGGATGGGTTATGTTCTTGCCGAGGTTTCTGGTAAATCATTCGAAGAATTCAATAGTGTACGTATTTTCCAATCACATTTCTGCTACTTGTGTAAGATGCCTTGTAAATTAGGATACACTATATGGTGAGAATCAGAGGGTTATTAGGCTTTCAAAGATGCGAACCGATCATATGAGCCATTCGATCTCAAATCAATGGTAGAGATGTGTTGATTGTAACAACCTTGGGTTTTGATAAATCCAGAGAATCTTGATCCAATATCAGTTTGCTTTCGGATTCCAGCTTTTGTTTCTGACAATGCTTGCCACTCACTCATAATGAGAATGGCCATAAAAATGTTATTTAGAGAACTTAGTGTTGCATACAGAATTGTTCAAGTACGAAGATAGTTGCAGTGCATGTCGGAGTACTATGTACTGAAATATGACGAGTTGAGTTATCCTAGGTATTTTAGATTCAAACTAGTAAGATACCCATGTGAATTTATTTGATTTAGTATAAAATATATTTAAATATATATTTAAATTTGAAATAAATTATATTATTATAAAATGAATAATAATTCTAAAAATTTAATTATATTAGATAATCATATAAAAAAGTGATTCATGAGAAGATGAAGGAAAAAAAAACAAAATATATTTTTTTCTTTCTTTTAAGATTTAAAAAATTGATATTTTATTTAAATGAGAATTTTTAAAGAATTTATATACATGTTAAAAATTATGACATATGATACAATAAATTATTTAGAGTATAATATCAACAAATAACTTGCAGAATGTTTAGATATAGCGATGTAATGTATTTTTAGACAGAGATATAAGATGCTCATGTTATTATTATCAAAATATGAAGTATTCACAAAGTATCCATTTATTTCAACAATCAAATGTTTCAATCCTTATCAAACTTTAAAAAAAGAAAACATGAACTAACTATTACAACCAATACCAACCTAGCAGATTGACAAATAAGGTGACAGATTCACATTATTTGTAATATGTTAATAGAAAAGTAAGGTGAGAGAACCACATTATTTGCCATATGTTGCAAGTGATCTATTAAGTCATGCCCTACTTTTCTATCATAGATTCAATTCAATTTCTTTATCTGCATATCAACATCATATTCATCACCTTTAATGCAATTGAATCCATGATTAAATAAATATGATAAAAAACTTTAATATATAAAAACCTATTAAAAATTAATTAAAAAATATTTACTCTTTCAAGTAATTTCCTAGTATTATTTGAAAAGATTAAAACAGTTAGCTAGTATTTTTTATGCTAGAAAATACGATGATCTCTTAGTATTTATTAGAATATTAATAGTAATTCATATTTATTTAGTTGTACTATTTTCTTAGCCCCTAAGTTTGTTAGAGGGTATTTTAGTATTTTATCTTATTCTAGTAACCCTAGTTTTAGCTTATAAATAGGGTGACAATCATTGTAACTTTAATCATGTTTTGTAGCCGTCATTCTTAATAGAATATTTCCTTTGTTCATCATTTATTCACCTTTGCACCAACAATTGGTATCTAGAGCTCCGGTTCAGATTCATTGGGAAACACGGGAAACACGAGTGAACGTGAGGTCTTGTGTGTTTGATTTTGATTCTTAGATTCGTGTTGAATCTTGAACAAAATCTGATCAGAATTTTATTCTGTGGGTTGGGAAACACTGTGTGAGAAACATTGAGTGTATTGTGCAAGGTGAAGATGAACGGAAACGGCAACATGAACACCAAGCTTCCAGTATTTGACGGTAAAAACTGGAATCGTTGGATGATCCAAATGCGTGTACTGTTTGGTGCTCAAGATGTTTTAGATCTTGTCACTGATGGTTATGTTCCGGTAGCAGCGGATGCAACAGATGAACAGAAAAACGCGCAGAAGGAAGTAAGGAAGAAGGATCAGAAAGCATTATTCTTTATTCATCAATGTGTTGATGTAAATGTGTTTGAGAAGATTGCAGATTCAACGACAGCAAAGGCTGCGTGGGACACACTGGTTAGATGTTATGGTGGTGACGCATCAGTGAAGAAGGTGAAGCTTCAGTCCTTGAGAAAGCAATATGAGAATCTCAACATGAAGAATAATGAGAAAGTTTCTGAATACATCTCCAGAGTGATTCTGATCACTAATGAGATGAAGGCGTGTGGAGAAACTCTTTCTGAAGAAACAATCATGGAGAAGGTATTGAGATCCCTTACCTCTCAATTTGATTACATTGTGGTAGCAATAGAACATTCCAAAGATCTGAGTACCATGAGAGTTGAAGAGCTGCAGAGCAGTTTAGAAGCGCAAGAGTTGCGTTTGACTGAAAGAACTTCTGAAAGGGAAGTAGAGCAGCAGACTCTGAAAGCAACTTCTGATAGGAGGTATCAGAAGCAGTCAGAAGCCAGGAGAAGATCTGATGGTGGTCAGAAGTCAGAAAGCTCAACCTCTGATAAACAAAAGAATGCTCAGAAAGGAAAAGAGAAGTATGACAAGAAGAAGATCCAATGTTACTGTTGTAAGAAGTTTGGTCACTTTGCTAGAGATTGTTGGTCAAACAAGGAGAGAAAATCAGAAGAAGCAAATATAGCCAGAAGTTTTGATGACGAATCTGTGCTATTGATGGCCTCTGAATCTGATGATCTGACAGACTGGTGGTATATGGACACTGACTGTTCAAATCATCTTACTGGAAACAAGAAATGGCTGGTTGACTTTGACTCTGAAAAGAGAACAAAGATCAGATGTGCTGATGACAAATATCTTAATGCAGAAGGTATGGGAAATGTCAGAGTGACTCTGAACAATGGGAAAACAGCATTGATTCAGAACGTGTGGTATGTACCTGGCATCAGAAGCAATCTGATGAGTGTGGGACAATTAATTGAGAAAGGTTTTTCAGTTACCATGAAGGATAATCTTCTGAAGCTGTATGACTGCAATCAAAAGTTGATTATGGAGTCAGAACAGGGAAGGAATAGAACATTCAAGGTGAATGTCAGAACTGCAGACTCAGAATGTCTTAGTGCAACATGTGCTGAGAAGGAGAGTGAGCTGTGGCACAAAAGATTTGGTCATTTGAATTTCAGAAGCCTAAAACATCTGAATTCAAAGAAGCTGGTACATGGAATTCCTGCAATTAAGAAGCCTGAAAAGTCATGCAAAGTTTGCATGGAAGGAAAACAACCACGTCTGCCATTTGTGTCAGAAGTTGCTCCAAGAGCAAAACATGCCTTGGGAGTTGTACATTCTGATGTGTGTGGTCCATTTCCAGTAGCATCAATTGGAGGGAATAAGTACTTTGTGTTGTTTGTTGATGAATTCACAAGAATGACATGGGTATCCCTTATTAAATTTAAACATGAGGTGTTTGATGAATTCAAGAAGTTCAGAATGAAGGCTGAGAATCAGAGTGGTCAGAAGTTGAAGATTCTTATAACTGACGGTGGGGGTGAGTATAACTCCAAAGAGTTCCAGAAGTTCTGTGAGGAGAATGGAATTGAGCATGAGGTTACTGCTCCTTATACCCCTCAACACAATGGTCTTGCTGAAAGAAGAAACCGCACTTTGCTTGATATGGTAAGAAGCATGCTAAAGGAGAAGAAGCTTCCTCAGAAGCTCTGGGGAGAAGCTGTTGCCACTGCAACGTATGTACTCAACAGATGTCCTACGAAGAAGTTGAAGGAAATAGTTCCTATGCAGAAGTGGACTGGAGACAAGCAAAGTGTTAGTCATCTGAAGGTGTTTGGTTCTGTTTGCTATAAACATGTTCCAGAAGCCAGAAGACAGAAGCTGGATGATAGAAGCAAAATGATGATTCTGATAGGGTACCACAGTACAGGTGCATACAAGCTCTATTGTCCAGAAACCAATAAAATTGAATTCAGCAGAGATGTGATTGTGAAGGAATCAGAAGTTTGGAATTGGGATAAGTCTCAATCTGATTCTGATGTTAGAACTTTTGAAGAAAGGTCAGAGTTAAGAATTTCTGAAGTTGAAGTAAACTCTGACGTTGATTCTGACTCTGATAGTGATTCTGACTCTGGAGAAGACTCAGAAGATGAAGGTGACTCTGATGATCCAGACTCTGATGGTAATCCAGATTCTGGTGGAAATTCAGACTCTGAAGATGGCCAAGACTCTGAAAATATGCCAGATCTTGAAGATGGTCAAAGCTCTAGAGGAAGTCAACCATCTGAAGCTGGAAACTCTGAAGCTCAAGACTCTGAACAAGTTCAGAGACCACAAAGAATCAGAAGCGTTCCCAGAAGATTTGCAGAATTTGACATGCTGAAAGACACTGAAGTAGACTTTGAAGGAGAAGTTATTCAGTGTGCCATGTTAGTAGACTCTGAACCTATAAGTACAGAGGAGGCTCTTAAGCAGAAGCTTTGACTGAAGGCCATGAAAGAAGAACTTGATGCTATAGAGAGAAACAAGACTTGGAAGCTGACAGAACTTCCAAAAGACAAGAAAGCCATCAACGTCAGATGGGTTTTCAAGCAGAAGTTAAAGCCAGATGGCTCAATTGGCAAACATAAAGCAAGGTTGGTAGCCAGAGGATTTCTACAAAAACCTGGGCTGGATTACTCTGAAGTGTTTGCACCTGTAGCAAGACATGAAACAATCAGAATGGTGATTGCAATAGCTGCTAACAGGAATTGGCCTCTGATGCATTTAGATGTAAAATCTGCATTTCTGAACGGTCCATTAGAAGAAGAAGTTTACGTGTCACAACCTCCTGGATTTGTGAAAAAGAATCAGGAAGGGATGGTGTACAGATTATTCAAAGCTCTATATGGATTGAAACAAGCGCCCAGAGCTTGGAATCAGAAGATTGATTCATTTTTCAAGAAGCAAGGCTTTCAGAAATGTGAGATGGAGTACGGTGTCTATGTTCAGCATACTTCTGAAGGCAATATGACTCTGGTATGTTTATATGTTGATGATATACTGCTGACTGGAAGTTCTGAACAGGAGATAACCAAGTTCAAGAAGGTTCTAATGAATGAATTTGAAATGACTGATCT